TTCGCTATGCTTGTGCAGCTTGAGCCATCCGGATAAATACACAACTCATGCTCTTGTAGCGGCCAGGTAACTCTGCTGAAGCACATTCAAAACAAATGGGTTAGTCACCGTTTACCATAGGCCTCCGTAGTCCCAAAAGCCGCGCCGAGTGGATTCTGAGGTCGGGTCACAAATTATACTTTTTAGCAAAGCTTCAGCGAAACCAAATTTCAGATTTTTTGGGGCACTGAGTGTGCAACGGTGTCTTCTAAATTTTCAAACTCAAAAATGAGCAATTTGAATGGTAGTGCTTTCAATGTTGTCACATCAGTCTCAAAAGCACTACGTGCTAGATGCGAATATTTGCTCAGAATGCAAAAAAGACGAAACTTGGGAGAAAACGAGTGCATCATCTTGACTTACCACTGCGCCATTCAATTTGTTGAGCACCTTCTCAGGTGCTCAACAAGTTGAATTTTCGGCTAAAACTCGTTTTTAGAAATTTCTTCTGGAAACCTTTCAAAAAAGAAACCGATATGGAGCATAGATTTGGGATTCCACAATTAATATTCTTTAATGATCGCAGTTGATTAGATGTTTTTACGAAGCGCCGCAACTCACAATAGAATCAATAGAAGATTATCATAACAGTAAGAAAGAGAAATATGTGATGCTCAAAAAAACGGACGTTATGCAAAACATTACTGTAGGATTTTGAATAGCTAAGGTTCCCTGTTCTGTTGCTTCATACCCGCTCTTCCGGAAGAGTGCATCCTGCCAACAATCTTCAGGAATATCGTCGATATCATGAATCGAAGTACTCCAAAGCTACGACTTCCAACTTTTTTAGGAAATATAATGGGCATTGGCGTATTTATCAATTAATATCTACCTAGGAATGATTTTGGTAAGTCTTCCTCGCAAATCATTACTGAAGCAGTAGCATCACAGTCTGCAGCTTCATAAATTAATGACGAGGCCCACAATCTCTTGCACATTTTACGCCATTAAGAACAATGCGTCAAAGCTTTTGTAAGCTTCAGGACTGTTGACACCCCTTAGTATTTTATGCAACAAGAAACAAGTCATCATAATGCGTTGTTAACGGATTATGCTCTTAGGGGTGCGTAACGATTGACGTTAACTC